TATGTGTGTGTCTATATATGTGCATAAAATTGGCCATTTTAATAATTTAAGCCATGTGTGTAGGACCTGGTAGCAAGAATTCAGCTGCTGTTACTCACAAAGTTGGCAGTTCAAACCCACCAGCTATTCTTTTTTTTTAAAAAAATAAATTATTATTTTGTGTATGTGTATTCTGTCAAACCGGATATGACTGGTACAGGAGGAGATTGCCCCTCCTTCTCCAGCAGAGCATCTGGTGGAATTCTATCAGTGTACCTGGGATTGCAATCCAGCTTCTTGCCGCTAGAGGCCACCAGAGCTCCCCCCACCAGTTACTCTGTAAGGAAAGGTGAAACAGTCGGCTTCTATAAAGATGACAGAAACCCTATGAACAGGTCTACACTCTCCTGTGGGTCACAATAAGTTGGAACTGACTCAACAGCAACAGGCAAGGCTTGATTCTATTTATACACACACACACATAGGTTCTATTACTATCTACATAAAACCAGAATAAACTTTTTTAAAGGGGGACATATCTGTAGAGAAAAGAAAGTAGCTAAGCAGCTCAGTGGATTTCGGAATTGAACTTGACTCCCAAGAGGAATGAGAGATTTTTTTTGTGTGTGATGGAAATGGTATTGTTTTTGTTTTTTTTTTTTTGATGTGATGGAAATGTTCTAAGACCAGATTAGCGTGATGACAACAAAACTATCAATTTCAGTTGACAGCAGGCAAATCTTAAAGTGTGTAAAATATATCTCAATGAGATTGTTAAAGTATGATTGTTTTTAAGACATAAAACATTATTTTAAAAAACAACAACAACAACAAAAAAAACACCACATTATTTCAAGAAAAAAATCTCCTTACCTAGTTCCTCCTGTGTTAAAGGGAGATACTGGTCAACCAGCAGCTCTGATCTGGTGAGTGCACTTTCCACTCCACTGTTAAGCAGCTGCACCATCCGACTTCCCAACACTGTGTTAATGCTGCCATTGACCACAGACTTGGTCTTCTCCACACTGCCGGTCACTGCCCCTTTAGTCTTATCTACCACTCCAGTGATGGTACTGGCCACCGAGTCCTTGGCCCCGGTCACAGCCCCAGTCACAGCAGCTTTTGCCCCAGTCACAGCACCTTTGGCACTGGCAACAACCTACAAAGAAAACGGCAGACCACTTGATAAGAGAGAAGCAGGGGCACTAACACACAATTAAAGATGCATCAAAATGGATAAAAAAAATCATAAAAAAAAAGATGCAGCAAAACTGAATAAGAAAAAATGTGGCACTGGTATTCTCAGCTTTGGAATCCTGGGCACATCACTAAACCCAGTATTAATATGAAGCAGATCCTTTAATTATTTGTTAATACCTCAAACAATAATCTTTATCATTTAAGAGAACTTTCAATAACCTAACTCATTTTTTTGTTTGTTTTAAATAAGGAAATGAGACATATAAGACATATAAGTCTCTGACGTTTACAGAAAATATCCAAACTTGAATAATTTTCACCATTAGTCTAGTACAAGGCAGATAACTAGATACAGACTTTCTAAACACTGTGCACAAATATTGGCTAGCTGTCCCTAAAGCGTAGTCGTCAGTCGTGTTAGTGCTGCACCAAGCAGAGTTAGCAAAGGTCCTAGTCCTAGAATACCATCTCTGCATTTATCCAACACTCCACAGGAATAATTTCAGAAAGCAACTTCTTTGCAGAGGTAAAATAAACAATTGACAGAGAAGAGATAGTATTCTAGCTCAAAGATGGCTACTTCTCTGCTTCTTAGATACAATCTGAAAACAGTTCAGCAAGTAAGGAGCCAGCTCTGATTCCTCCAAGTATTCGCCTGTGTGTACAGTCTATGATAAATAGGTAGGACCTGAAAACATGCAGAGCGGTAGCCACCAGCACTTGGTCCCCAGCTTACCTGCTCTGTGGGCTGATTCAGAATAGGCAGTTTTTCCTCGAGCCGGTCCAACTCTTTACAGGCATAGGTATTTGCAACTGCAACTGGAAGAGTCATAAGTGGGGGAAATGTTAATGTAGTAACCATGTGAGCATGAAATGCACACACACTACAAAACCCTAAGTTTAACCTTAGCATAAAAAAACCAAACAAAGAAAGAAAGAAAGAGCAGCATAACATATGCACATAAAACTAGCAAGAACGTTGACCTGCATCTGCTACAAAAACATGCTGCCTGGTTTCCCTAATGTAGTCAGGAAGAGCTTGGCAGATTGCTGACAACTTTCTTCTATTGTCAAGGAAGCATTGGGGAGCAACAGGAAGTGGTAGTCACAGGCCAGGTAGGAAGTTGGCTAAAGAGCTTCTTCCTCATCGACTAGCCTCTAAGGTTAAGTGCCAAAAGACATTAAGCTGTGTGTCCAAATACTCATCTGAAAAGTGAGGATCTCAACATTCTATGTCACTGTGACGTACATGAAGTTTTCATGGCTGTGAGCTTCTGGAAGGTCACCAGGTCTTTCTGCCAAGTCGTTTCTCGGTAATTTTAACTACAAACCTTTAATAGCCTAGGCTGTAACCATTTATATATCCCCTTTTCTAACCTCTACACATACTAAATTTAGTACATAGTAGTGTATTTGGGAAGAAATCGCCCAAATACCACCAGGAAAGAATATATGAACAATACCCTGGCTCTACCAGACCAAAATTTCAGGCAAAGCTCCCTCCAGGGATGATCAAGCCAAATACCACTCCTCTGACTACCCAACTGATATAGGAAGTAGCAGGGCTGAAAAACCTGATTTCTAGTAGTTCCTTATGAACCTAGGAGTCACCAGGTAAGCATTTGGGGAAATGACTTAAATCTTTCAGAAAAAATCCATGACTAGTGACGGAAGTCTGACACAGTGGGATCTTCACATGTACGAAATTACTGCAAATAAGTAAGAAGATTCTCTCTTAAAGTGATGAAAATGAGCGCTCGTGGCCTAGTGGCAAGAAGCCACTGGGGTAATCGGGATGGGTGTGTCAGAGGCAGTGTGGTTGGCGCAGGATAGAGCAGGGTTTAGGGCTGTTGTGCATAGGGTCGCTATGAGTCCCAAACGACTTGACGGCACATAACAACAACAACAACATACTTAAGGAGCTCTGGTGGCTTGGTGGGTACTGAGTTGCACTGTTATCCCAGAAGGAGGCAGTTCTAATCTACCAGCTGCTCCACAGAAGAAAGGTGGGCTACTTCTTCCTGTGCGATTATAGCTTCTGAAAACTCACTGGAGGGTCAGTTATAAGTTAGTTCCAACTCAAGAGCATAAAACAACAACATAGGGGTCTGTCTCGGTGCTTCCTCCAAACAAGATAGGGCAGCAGCAGCTCTACTGGAGTCACCTGAAAAAATCAGCCAGGGGTCCTGCCCCAGCTGCGTGTGCTGAAACCAGTACAGACTAAGCTGGAAACACGGCCTCAGTATGTGCCGGCAGTGTTTCCACCAGTACAACAGGCGATCGACTTTATCAAGTTGGACTAAGTGACCTTCCTTGAATGGCTTAGCCAAGATGTCTACATCTTGGAAACAAGACCAACACTTTGTATGTAAAATAAAATTTCAGTTATGATTAATGTGGAAAAAGAAACCCCACCAACCCCAAAAACAACAAAGTCTACCGAGTATGAATATCGAAAGTTAGAAATATTGAGAGAATTACCAAAATGTGGCAGACACAAAGTGAGCACATGCTTCTGAACAATTTGCTGGGAGACCCGCTCCACATAGGCTTGTCACATTTCAATTTGTAAAGAATTCAGCATCTCAGATGTGCACTAAAGCAAAATGCACTAAAACAAGGTATGTGTCTGTGTCTCCAAAGTGCACTGACAGGTGCCTGGCAGGTGTGCCTGTATTTGCCTCACGAAAGGCTGACTGACATACCTTGCATGAGCCACTTTGTGCTCTGGAAGATTAGGAAGCAATCCCTCTGTTTAAAGCAGATCTTGGCTCCCCTCACTCGCTTCTTAGATTGAATTTTGAGGGGAAAATCAGAACTCACTTTGAGGTTCTAGCTTCTGGATGATTGGCAAGGTACTGGTCACGGCCACGGAGGTGATGGTCTTCACACCCTTCTCTGCGATCTCACACACTGACTTCAAGTACGGATACTGATCTTTCGTGCTGACGTAAGCTGAGGAGACCAGGTCGTAAGTGGAGCTCACCAAGGGCAGGTTGGCGACTCTCGTCACCACGCTCTGCAAGCAAACAGTGTGGGGGAAAGTTAACATCCCGAAACACATGTGGAGGGAGAGCAAAAACAATGCAATGTAAAATTCGTACCGGCTGTGGCTCAACTGCAACAGATCCCATTTTGCTTCCTGGAGAAAAGAGTCTGTGGAAGAAAAACTTATTTTAGGATCTGAGAGGGCTGAGACTGCTCATCTGAATTCCTCAACCCAAGCAGAAGCTAACTTCAAGTAGAGCAAAATTCAAGCTGACAGCAGTGCTGTTCCCTGCACAATCCTCCTCCAATCCTCTAAACTCTACACAAGCACTTGTGTTTAGACTCTAACAGAAATGAGGCTCCGGGAAGAAAGGCCAAGTTGTTGATCAAAGTGTCATGTTTCTTGGCTGAGTACTAGCAAACGGCCTTTAAAAGGCAGGATCTCTCACAGATCGATCTTGTATCAGTGAAACTACATCTAGCATAGTTTGGGAATGTGTCAGGAAGGGCTGGCCAGTCACATGAAAGAGACATCTGGGAAAGGTGATATCAGAGAAAGAGGAAGATTCTCAATGAGGTGCACTGGTACAGGGACTACCTGGGCTTGAGTATAACAGAGTTGGTGAGGATGGCACAGGACAGGGCAAGGTTTGGATCTGGTGTTGATAGAGTTGCTCTGAGTTGTAGTTGACTCACAGCACCTAACAACATCAACATCCACCACAAACCTGCTGAAGTGAATGCCATCAAGACAGGCGAGATCTGGAATAGAGACAGCTTGGGCACCAGTTTTTACGTTCCTTGCAAAGAAATTGAAACTTGTGTAGGGGAGACTATGCATAAGAGAGGGAGGAACCAAGAAATATTTTTTACATGCTTTTCAATGTAAATTTAGCATTCCCAAAGACCCTATGACTCTAGGAACCCTAAAGGGAAGGAGAGAACTGTCCCATTGGGTTCTTAAGGCCATCAATCTTTGGGGGAGTGGGGGTGTCAGCCTTCTGCTATGGAACATTAGTGGATTTGAACCGATGACCCTTCTGTTAGTAGCTGAGCACTTAACAACACTGGGTCATCTGGGCACACATTAACTGCCTCGGCTTCAGGAAATTCACCTTCCTGCCAAGGGTCCCAGTTCAACTACAGGCGCCCTAAGTCTCTGGAGTCTGGCCGCGTTACTCTTTCCTGATTCTCTCCAGGAGGCCCCATGTTTAAGGTGGAAGGAAGTCTGGCCGAGAGCTAAATTCCTCTCCCTGCATCCCATAAAG